CTACTCATCATTTCCCATCCTTCCCATCCTTCTCATGCTTCCCACCCTTCTCATGCTTCCCATCCTTCCCACCCTTCTCATGCTTCCCACCCTTCTCATGCTTCCCACCCTTCTCATGCTTCCCACCCTTCTCATGCTTTGCATACTTCTCAGCCTTCTCATGCTTCCCACCCTTCTCATGCTTCGCATCCTTCTCAGCCTTCTCATGCTTCTCACCCTTCTTATGCTTCGCATCCTTCTCATGCTTCTCATGCTTCGCATCCTTCTCATGCTTCTCATCTTTCTCATGCTTCTCATCCTTCTCATGCTTCTCATCCTTCTCATGCTTCTCATCCTTCTCATGTTTCTTATCCTTCTCATGTTTCCAATCCGTCTAGTCCTTCTAATCATAGACGTCATTTTAATCTGTCTAATTCTTGTAATTTTTCCAGTGCAACTAATAAGCTCTAGTTCTACAATTCATAATTTTTATATTTACTATTTAAACCCGCCTTATTCACGAGACAAATTAAAAACAGGTTATCAACAACCTTACACGAACCTACACACTCTCTCAACAACCTTACACGAACCTACACACTCTCTCAACAACCTTACACGAACCTACACACTCTCTCAACAACCTTACACTAACCTACACACTCTCTCAACAACCTTACACGAACCTACACACTCTCTCTAAACCTCTAAATAACATGAGAAGAAAAGAATGATTCACTCTTTATTTACCAGGAAATTGTCAATAACGTGGATAAACTCTGCCAATTTATACTCAATACCCCCCCCCCTCATGCACTCAGTTTTATCCTTCTCTACAGGGCACCAAGCCTTTTTCTTTCTTTTTAAATTCTCTTTTCCCGGCGACTTTTTCTTTGAGTTTGCGACTGTCTGTATGACAAAGGGAAGAAAAGCGGGTAAAAATTTCTATATTGCAAATTCCCAAGGTTGCCGCATAAATAAAAATCCTTGAAATCTTGAAACTATTCAATGAATTCAATCATCCAATAAACGTAATTTTTTTTTCAGTTTATCTTTGTGCTTCGAGGATATCAACCTGCAGGACAACGAGGAACTCAAGTTTATCTTGAAGATCGTGAACCTCGTGTTTGCTGTTCTCTTCACCGTCGAGATGTTCCTCAAGTGGGTCGCCTTCGGACTCTTCAGATACTTCTCTAGCGTGTGGACTTGTCTCGACTTCGTCATTGTTTGCGTAAGTTTTTTTATTCACTACAAGCTAAAGTTCCCAGCCTTGCCTGTGAAAGTTTAAAAATATTTTTTATTAATCGGATTGGAAGAAAATTTTCTTAGAATTTTTTAGCCTACGTTACCCCCAGGGTTAAATGTTCATTTGTCCAGTATAACGTAACAATAAGTCGAATATATTGAGCATTGTAAGTCAAATAAATGATCACTCCCCCCCCCCCTTCTTATAAAATATAATTGAATTTCTTGAACATGTAATGGCAACAAAAATGTAAAAATGTTTGATTGAATTGAATGAGAAGTTTGAAGGTGTAATACTTTACCCACTTTATAGTAGTTGGTTTGAGGTTATTGGAGGGAACATTACCAAGGCTAATCACCTTAGTACATTTTATACAGGGAGACCTATAATGGAACAGGTTTTTTAGACGACCTTTAAATCATGATAATCAAAGATCAAAGGTTCAGGGTTTATCATTCTGTGGCTATCATCCTGGGTTGATTTTTACATTTTGGACCATTTTGAAAATATGCGTAGAATTTCTGATCGCTTGATACATATAATCTACAGGTTTATGCTTGCTATACAATGACATATAATTGTACAAAATTGTACTGAACCTTGAATTTGATAAACATATTTGTAGAGTCGTCAATAAAAACTAATTTTGAGTAAACCTGTATTATAAAATGAAGCAAGCAATTCGTTACTGAGAATTAAATCTAAGTATCGATTGAACTGAATCTGAGTATTAATAGTACTTGAGAACTGAATCTGAGTATTGATAGTACTTGAGAACTGAATCTGAGTGTTGATAGTGGTTGAGAACTGAATCTGAGTATTGCTAGTACTTAAGAACTGAATCTTGATAAATTGATAGTATACTTGAGAACTGAATCTAAGTATTGATCGTATACTTGAGGACTTGAATCTGAGTATTGATAGTATACTTGAGAACTGAATTTGAGTATTGATAGTATACCTGAGAACTGAATCTGAGTATTAATATTATACTTGAGAACTGAATCTGAGTATTGATAGTATACTTGAGAACTGAATCTGAGTATTGATAGTATACTGATAGTATACCTGACAACTGAATCTGAGCATTAATAGTATACTTGAGAACTGAATCATCTGAGTATTGATAGTATATTTGAGAACTGAATCTGAGTATTGATAGTATACTTGAGAACTGAACCTGAGTATTGATAGTATACTTGAGAACTGAATCTGAGTATTGATAGTATACCTGACAACTGAATCTGAGCATTAATAGTATACTTGAGAACTGAATCTGAGTATTGATAGTATACCTGACAACTGAATCTGAGTATTGATAGTATACCTGACAACTGAATCTGAGTATTGATAGTATACCTAACAACTGAATCTGAGCATTGATAGTATACTTGAGAACTGAATCTGAGTGTTAATATTATACTTGAGTACTGAATCTGAGTATTGATAGTATACTTGAGAACTGAATCTGAGTATTGATAGTATACCTAACAACTGAATCTGAGCATTAATAGTATACTTGAGAACTGAATCTGAGTATTGCAAGTATTGAAAGCATCTAAGAAAGTTTTCAAGTTTACAGCAAACTCTGTTGTTTGTGTTCGTAATTTAAACTCTATTGTTTTGGAGGAAATCTGCGGAGTCTAAACCTTATATCCCTTTTGCTGAACTTAAGCTATACAAGCTTCACTTAAGAGTGAATACGTTTTTAAAACAAACAATTAAGTATTCTAAGGACCAATGAGCTTGATTGTAATTTGAAAATATTAAACCAAATATGTCACAGAAGACAGTAAAGACAGTATTAAATAAAAGTATCATTAAGATATTGTTAAACATTTTTGTAGAGATAATAATACGTGACGTAATTGCTTATGATTCAATTTCAATTAAATGAAATTCTCCTGGTCTAGGTATCTGTGATCAGCCTGATGGTTGAGGGAAACTCAAACCTCACCGCGTTCAGGTCTCTTAGAACCTTGAGAGCACTCCGACCTCTCAGAGCAATCTCTAGGTGGCAGGGAATGAAGGTATCTTATTTATTTTTAAAAGTAACAAACCACTTTTTCCTCGATTTGGAAACTCCTACTCCTACTCCTACTATATAGATTGTTGTGAATGCCCTGATGTACGCTATCCCGTCTATCTTTAACGTGCTGTTGGTGTGCCTGGTGTTCTGGTTGATATTCTCTATTATGGGAGTTCAGTTCTTTGGAGGAAAATTCTACAAATGTCTGGACGGGTAAGTATTCTGAAACTTTAGAAACTAGCAATATACGTCTAGCTGAGTCTTTATTTTAAAGTTCCATCAAACGTTCTCAACGATACCCTGTCGATCTTATTGGAAATATCAATTTCAAAAAACCTAAGTTACTGGATGTATTTAATAAAGCAAATCATGAATGTTAAAAGAGTACTAAATCGTTTATGTACCATTTCTTCTATTCTATTCTATTCTATTTTTTAGTCTATTCTGTTTTATTCTATTATATTCTATTCTATCCTATTCTGTTCTATTCTATTCTATTCTATTCTATTCTATTCTATTCTATTCTATTCTATTCTATTCTATTCTATTCTATTCTATTCTATTCTATTCTATTCTATCCTATTCTATTCTATTCTATCCTATTTTATTCTATTCTATTCTATTCTATTCTATCCTAATCTATCCTATTCTATCCTATTCTATCCTATTCTATTCTATTCTATTCTATTCTATCCTAGGAACGGTGAGCTACTAGCGACCTCTATAGTGAATGACCGATGGGAGTGTGCTGAGAAAAACTATACATGGGTCAACTCTAAAATCACATTTGACCATGTTGGTCACGCTTATCTCGCCTTATTCCAAGTGGTTAGTTAATCTATATATAGTTGGTCACACCTACCTCCCTTAACTACCCCTTTAAATTAGTTATTTACTTAGTTATGCCTTCATTCTGATTTGCTTTGAAGTATGGAAAGTTTCACGGCCTATGCACATCAATATTATTGACCAAATTAAAAAATCAAAAAACTTTTAAAATTTAAAGGAAAAACTGCATTAAATAAAACAAAAAATATTCTTTTCATAAGCTGGGAAGTGTGAATAAATTTGATAAAAATCTATTTTTATTTTTTTTAATTTTCTTTGTTCTCAGGCAACGTTTGAAGGATGGATTGAGATAATGGCGGATGCAGTTGATGCCCGTGAGGTGGATCTTCAACCTGAGCGCGAAGCGTCCTTATACAACTACTTCTACTTCGTGATATTCATCGTGTGCGGGTCCTTCTTCACCCTCAACCTGTTCATCGGGGTCATCATTGACAACTTCAACATGCTCAAGAAGAAGGTTATTATTATTATTATTAATCCCCAGTACGAGGGTGGTGTTCTTGAAATGTTCCTAACAGAATCTCAAAAACATTACTACACTGCAATGAAAAAATTAGGAAGAAAGAAACCTCAAAAAGTTATCAAACGTCCTCAGAACCCCTATCATGCATTATTCTACGACATATCAGGTACAGTTTATAATGTAGAGGGCAGACAACTTAAATGATTTAATTTTATCCTTTGATAGATGTTGATAGTTTAGTAGATGTCCAGATATAAAGTTTGGTAGATGGATAGATGGATAGAAGGATAGTTTAGGAAATGGGTAGATGGATAGTTTGATAGATGGTTAAATAGATAGTTTAGTGGATGGGTAGACATAGATAGTTTAGTAAATGAATTTAGTTTAGTATGTGGATAGATGGATAGTTAAGTAGATGGGAAGATGAATAGTTTAGTAGATGGGAAGATGAATAGTTTAGTAGATGGATAAATGACAAGATAGATAGTTTAGTAGACAGACAGATGGATATTTTAGAAGACGCAGATGGATATTTTAGAAGACGGACAGATGGATGGATAGTTTAGTAGACAGACAGATGGATATTTTAGAAGACGGACAGATGGATAGTTTAGTAGACATACAGATGGATAGTTTAGTAGATTGATAGATGGATAGATAGTTTAGTAGATGTGTAGATAGCAAAGTATTAGCAATGAAACAATATTGATAAAAGTTTGATGCTTACTCAGCAATATTTACTTTGAACAGTAAAATACCAGAACCTGACTTATTTGATAATAATTTATCCAAACTTTTCCCATTCCTGATCTTTTACTTTCTCATACCTGATCCTATACTTTCTCATACCTGATCCTTTACTTTCTCATACCTGATCCTTTACTTTCTCATACCTGATCCTTTACTTTCTCATTCCTGATTCTTTACTTTCTCATTCCTGATCCTACACTTTCTCACTCCTGATCCTTTACTTTCTCATTCCTGATCCTTTACTTTCTCATACCTGATTCTTTACTTTCTCATACCTGATCTTTTACTCTCTCATACCTGATCCTTTACTTTCTCATTCCTGATCCTTTACTTTCTCATTCCTGATCCTATACTTTCTCACTCCTAATCCTATACTTTCTTCTTTCTAATTATATACTTTCTCATTCCTGATCCTATACTTTCTCCTTTCTAATTCTATACTTTCTTCTTTCTAATTCTATACTTTCTCACTCATGATCCTTATACTTTATCATTTTTGATCCTTTACTTTCTCATTCATGATCCTATACTTTCTCATTCCTGATACTATATTTTCTTCTTCCTGATCCTATACTTTCTCATACCTGATCCTATACTTTCTCCTTTCTAATTCTATACTTTCTCACTCCTGATCCTATACTTTCTCATTCCTGATCCTATGCTTTCTTCTTTCTAATTCTATATTTTCTCCTTTCTAATTATATACTTTCTCACTCATGATCCTTATACTTTCTCATTCCTGATCCTTTACTTTCTCATTCATGATCCTATACTTTCTTATTCCTGATACTATATTTTCTTCTTCCTGATCCTATACTTTCAAATTCCTGATCCTATACTTTCTCCTTTCTAATTCTATACTTTCTCACTCCTGATCCTTTACTTTCTCATTCCTGATCCTTTACTTTCTCAAACCTGATCCTTTACTTTCTCATACCTGATCTTTTACTCTCTCATACCTGATCCTTTACTTTCTCATTCCTAATCTTTTACTTTCTCATTCCTGATCCTATACTTTCTCCTTTCTAATTATGTACTTTCTCTTACCTGATCCAATACTTTTTCCTTTCTAATTCTAAACTTTCTCACTCCTGATCCTATACTTTCTCCTTTCTAATTATATACTTTCTCATTCCTGATCCTATACTTTCTCCTTTCTAATTCTATACTTTCTTCTTTCTAATTCTATACTTTCTCACTCATGATCCTTATACTTTATCATTTTTGATCCTTTACTTTCTCATTCATGATCCTATACTTTCTCATTCCTGATACTATATTTTCTTCTTCCTGATCCTATACTTTCAAATTCCTGATCCTATACTTTCTCATTCCTGATCCTATACTTTCTCATTCATGATCCTTTACTTCTCATTCGAGATCCTATTCTTTCTCATTCCTGATCCTATACTTTCTCCTTCCTGATATACTTTCTCATTCATGATCCTATACTTTCTCATTCCTGATCCGTTACTTTCTCATTCCTGATCCGTTACTTTCTTATTCCTGATCCTATACTTTCTCCTTTCTAATTCTATACTTTCTCATGCATGATCCTTATACTTTCTCATTCATGATCCTATACTTTCTTTTTCCTGATCCTATACTTTCTCCTTTCTAATTCTATACTTTCTCATTCCTGATCCTATACTTTGTCATTCCTGATCCGTTACTTTCTCATTCTTGATCCTATACTTTCTCCTTTCTAATTCTATACTTTCTCATTCATGATCCTTATACTTTCTCAATCCAACTTTACTTTCTCATTCATGACCCTTTGCTTTCTTATTCCTGATACTATATTTTCTCCTTCCTGATCCTATACTTTCAAATTCCTGATCCTATACTTTCTCATTCCTGGTACTTTACTTTTCATTCGAGATCCTATTCTTTCGCATTCCTGATCCTATACTTTCTCATTCATGATATAATTTCTCATTCCTGATCCTATACTTTCTCATACCTGATCCTTTACGTTCTCATTTCAAGCTCCTGGTACCCAACCTAACCTATGTACTTCTAAACTTTTTTTTTCGTAGAATCATGACATTATCACTGAGCCTTGACACCTTTTCTTTTTCGTAGAATCATGACATTATTCCTGAGCCTTGACACTTTTTCTTTTTCGTAGAATCATGACATTATCCCTGAGCCTGGACACCTTTTCTTTTTCGTAGAATCATGACATTATCCCTGAGCCTGGACACCTTTTCTTTTTCGTAGAATCATGACATTATCCCTGAGCCTGGATACCTTTTCTTTTTCGTAGAATCATGACATTATCCCTGAGCCTGGACNCTTAAACATTAGTGATATTATAAACAAATTTAGTTCTCAAGATGTCGGATACAGATATTTCGTTTTCTTGGAATGATTTTAGGTAGTTAGTGCTAGGTTGTAGGTTGCTCAGGGTTCTCTTCTGCATTATTTAGATATCGAATTTTTCTTAATCCGCTTTGGTGATCTCGATGGTGAAAGGGTTTTAGTTTTTTTTCTAAATCAAATTAGATTCATTGCTCTATAAACTGACCTAGTGGTAACCGAGCTAATGGGTTTAAGATCAAATGGCTCAAACCACTGATAAACAGCTCAAAATTACTGTTTTTATAAATTTTTGTCTTCACCCAAACTAATTTGAAAAAAAACGTATCTCAGGCCATGTCAAGCAAAGGTACCATAGTTCGGTTAATAAAGTACCTACAATTCTATCTTTCTATCAACCTTTTTCTATCCATTCCATATATATATATATATATATTTATAAATATATATATATAAATTTATATATATATATATATTTAGCCCTTGTCTATGTATATAATGAGAGAAAAAATATGTAAATAATATAGCACTAAAACAATGATAAAAGATAAGAGAAACTGAGTTCTTTCAAGAAACTTAAGTTTGATAATCTCTATATTTTTGCAACCTGATATTTAAACCTTCGATTCTCAAAAATTAGACTCTTTGATCTTACCGATTTCTTAGTTTAAAATGTCAAAGGCCTGCGATCCTTTGATATCAGGTTGTAAAGATATAGGGATTAGAAAAACGGAGTTAGCCATAAGAACTTGAAGAGGTTACTTTGATTAACATTTTAAAAATCCTGACCAGCCAGAAACCCGTGCCCGATGAAAGAAATAAAAATACCACAATAAGACAAATATTTATACATGAATTTCATCTAGTATCTATAAATAAAAAGTTGAAATCTCTGTTTCTTTGTTTGTTGGTTTGGATGTCAGATCATAATTAAAGAACCCCTTGACCGATTTGATTCAAATTTTGATTGGGGAACTTGAGAGGCCCAAACTGGAATGTTCTTAGCTTGGTTTTAATAGCTAAAATTGTAATTTACGACCAAGCGCGGGTAAACGGCTTGAGTAACCATGAGAACCCGTGTTTGTATAAAAAGCCTTTTTTTTTCAAAAAAAAGGTTCAGACCTTTTAAAAATTAGTAAAAACGGTAGTAAATCGAATAAATCCAGTG